GAAGGCATACACACACATACCTTAAGAAGGATTTAGATGAACTGGACAGGTGCAGAGAAGGGCAACCAAGATGATCAAAGGATCAGCAACTAGATCCTATGAAGGCAAATTTGAAGGAGCTGGACATGTTTAGACTTGAGAAGAGATGCCTGAGGGGAGGGTATGATAGCACTCTTCACATGCCAATTGTGACAGAGAAGGAGTCCAAGACCTCTGTCATTGCCGAATAACTTCCTTATATTAACCTGAAATGGTTTATTCCACAACCCTCTTTCTCTGGTTCACCATCTTCATGTTTCTGGCACCCTGTGACCTAATTTGCTTAATATGATATGTAATGGGAAAGTATGTTGATGATTCTATCTTTGGACAGGAAATTAAAAACTGAGTCTTTGATCTCACTAACTACACTCTGAAACTCAATCTAAATTGTTTTGCCCGCTTGTCACAGATATGACTGTGCAGATTTGCTACTGCTGCTGGAATGCCTTTTCATTTGCAGCAAATGGTTTCTTACACCTCTCAGAAGTATTACCACAAAGACCACATAGAGTCTGTGCAATTCAGACAGTTCTCACTAAGTTTTAAAAAGGTTGAAAGGATTTTGCCTCCATTCCGAACAACACATTAAGGCAGGAAAACAAGTTGCAGCCTGAACAAGAAAGGCCTTCTGCCTCCCATCTCATCATGTATCACAATACTGTATCATATACCTGTCCATACTGTGCTTATTGTCTAAATGCAGGCACAATAGCCAAGTTTAGATTACCATGTAAACCTAATTCATGCCATTTTTGGGAACTTGGTATACAAGCTACTTCCTTCACTAAACAGAACTATTAAGCCTTCAATATATTTTTCCAGCAATATCCAAGTTGCTCAGGCCCATTAGTGTCAGACAGGATATAATGAACAAAGTTGGATGGCTTCAGCACAGCTGTTTTTATTTTACACCAGTTTATTGCAGAGGAAATTTTGCTCCATTATCTGACCCTAACTTTTGCTTCAGTTAATGACATTAAGGCCACTTCCCAACACTCAGGAATTTCCAGGGAGGTCTGCTTGGAATTAGAAATGTACCACCTTTTCTTTCTCCATTCCATCCTACTTCCGAGCCTGGCTTTGGGGTTTTTTGTTTTGGTCCACTGACCCTTTCTCAGTAGAGCTACTGGATCTAATTTATGTGATCAAAAATATGGGATGTTTATACACAGATGTGTTAGGTAGGTGCTTTAGTTCTGTTTGTGTGAATCAGTTGCTAAATTCTCACACGTTAGACCTAAGCCTAAACCTCATATTTTCCACTTTGCCTCATCAAGGTGACATTTTGCTTGTCCAGGCAGAGAGGAGAGGAAAGGTGGGAGTGTGGCCTGATAGGGATTAGGCTTTGCATGTGCAGGCAAAGCCAGAACTTTGACAGAACCATGTTCCTATTCTTTTTGTTTTGCTTAGATAAGCCAACTTCCGGCTTGCCCAGACAATGCAGGAAAATGTGAGGTTTGGGCTTAGTTCTAGTTGTATTGAAAATACTGAGACTTAACTCTAGTGATTTCTTAATAGCAGAATGTATTTAATTGCAGTTTCTGGGTGAAACTTTCTCCCAATTGTTTCTGTGTACTTATGTGACCAATTTAGTTATAAGTGTGCCTATGTAGTTAAGTAGGACTCTGGGCACAAAAATATTAGCTCAGGCCTAAGTAGAAGTGTAGCCAGTGAGTGTAGAGTTGCAGCTGATGCCTCTTAATTATAAAACATTTAAACTGTTTTATGTATCTGTGTACACGTCAGCAATATTAAAAGATGGGGCAGTTAAATCAGGGAAAAACTATATCTCTAAGGATTCATACGTTCACCATTCATACTCAAGAAAGATATAAATTTCTCCTAGTATATCTTTAGTTCTCTGAATAAATCAGTCAGGACCAAATTTTAATCCTTTATAATCAAGAAATGCTATCTACCTGAAGGCAAATTGTTTATATGATTTTTTTCTGTCTTACATTCTAAAACTACTTCATTTGGGATATTAAAGTAATGAGAAAAATCAATCATCTTTGAAATTTTAGGGGATCTTGGCACCACAACGTTTGAGAAGCCTTATCTTACCGGTGTTTATAATCCTTCTTGAAATAATACAACTTTTTTAAAAGATGCATTAGTATTTCCTGATTATTAAATACTTTTATATTTCTCATTGGGAAGAACTAACGTGGCAAATTTATTGTCAGAAACAACTGTTGCCTAATTGAGATAACATTTTTGCCTCTATACCAGCCTTCTTCCCTTATGCAATATTGCCCTCTTTTATTTTTAAATAAATGATATTCTTTTTAAGATGGCCTTTTTTCAATGTTATTGCAAATTCCTTAGTTCTGGTTTTGTGCAAATTGCATTGTTCTGTTTTAACTGTAGTGCAATCATTTGAGGTCTGGACTGGCACAACACCATGCCTTACTTGATGTACAAGGCTGATTTGTAAAATAGTTGGTGGTTGCATCAAAGAACATTCTTCTGCATTATCTGAGATGTTCTCCTGCCTTTACTTGTACTACAATTAAGCACTAATGACAGGCTACATATCCACCAACTCCCATTACTCAGTTTCCCTTTCTGGCTTGTTTTTTAAAAAATAATTTATTATGAAAATATGTGCTGCACGTAGCCTTGTCCAACACCACGTGCACACACTGTTTCCAAATAAAATCTGTCACCACGCAGCAACAGCAGAAACCACGGCAACTGAAGTTCTAAAAGGACATGGATGGGAAGATGGTTTCCCAGCAATGGCAGGAATTGTAATTTCCAGAAAGCAGATGCTCTTCCCACCATCCTGCTGAATTTCTTCCTAAGTCTACATCTAAATATCATACAATGGGACTAAATTAAGGTTACCATTTGTAGAAAATTGTAACAAATAAATTCATGCTAATACTTAATCTAGAAGCATCCACTGTCTTACTCCATCTTGGGCTCCTGAGAAGAAGTACTGAGTGTAACATCTGGATTATTTGATCACAATGATATGGTCATGGCTGCAAACCACTGTGACATATAGACTTATGCTACAGAATATTACACATTTTGCATTTTCAAAGCCTTTTCTCTGTTTCAGCCCATGAAGTGGACTCTCCCAAATAATGTTTCTACACTAGATACTCAAATGTTTCCTTGTTTCACTGATACAACGTTAACACCTACAAGTATTAAGCAAAATTGATGATACATATTTCATGAGCAAATATCTCACAAATGCTTTGCCAGTCACCTAAAGCCATAAAACATGTGACAGCAGTAATAACTCATTTGCATAGGTAACAAATCAACCTGTGACCAATAATGCAATTCTCATTTTAGCCAGGCTTCTTCCCATTATATAGCCACTATCTCTGGGAAAGTAATCATATTCCCATATTTCTGAAAGTTAGGAAGAGAGTTTCATAGTGTCTACAAGGGTATGGTATATAATACTGTGAACAATGAACCTACATTATCCTAAATTACCATAGTTCATTATGAATATAACTATGCTATTATTTGGAAATGCTCCAGAATACAATAATCATTATATTCAGAATGCAATAATCAGTAATGCTTCCATAGAGTCTAAGGCATTCAAGCAACACGGAACAGCATTCTAGCATATGTGTTAGTGATAGTTTAGATGAGATCTGCGAGTTCCTTCCATCTACTTGATTTTACTATGCTTTATTTTCTGTCATCCAGGAGAAAATTATCAGCAAGACTCCTTGCAAGCAAAATCACATTGCTTGAAAAAGAGAGGTTTTTTTTTCTTTGTATAGGGCCTACTGATGACTATTAGGCATTCAGTGAATTTATGATATATTTTCAGTATCACCAGGAAACATATGTGGAATCCTAGAAGGGCATGATTCTTAAAAAAAAAACTATGTGCAAGGCAAAGCCTTTTTAGTGCTCATCATTTTGAAAATATCAACAAATAACGCTAGCACCGAAATCCCTAGAATAAACTACTGTTGCTAGTTTTCAGCATTCAATTCATACCTGGCACTAAAGCCATTTTGGTAGGCAGCAGAAACACCAGACATTAATCTGAAATATTTTTTCAAGGGAGCTAGCTATGAATCCAATCCCAACTACTGGGACTGCTACAGCAAAATTCCCGTAGCCAGGATTTCTAACTGTGTAACCCAATCAGGCCTCCTTCAGTAACAGTAATCCCTTCAGGCTTGGTAAATGCTGCACATGAGAGTTTCCAAAAATATCATGTGTTATCACTGGGTAGAAAAACTTGATTGCTCAGATAAACAGTACAAAGGGCAGAAATTACTTATTTCCATCTGTTTTCTTCTGAAGCCCACTGACTCAGCACTGATTCTACATTCAGTCAGCTTCCCTGCAAGCTGTTCCTTACAACAGCAGACGTACCAGCAGATAAATGTGACCCATCTGCTGGCCTGTAAAGCATTAATTACACAGGAAGCTATGTTGACTTCCAGTGTGAACTGTATCCTTTCTTCAGAATACCATCCTAGTATTAAAGTACTCCAAGGGCTTGCTGTAGATATTAGACTAGCCTGTTTTAAGTTTCAGGTCAGGTCTCTTTGCTCTATAGCTATAATAACAGAATAAACAGTATAAGAGAGGCAGTATCTGAATGACAATGCTCAGTAGTTTCAGCTAGCAATACTAAAGATGAAGGATGCTGAAAGTTAGTTTGGCTTGATGACTGTCAATTATCTACACCTATAGTTTAGGTTCTGTTAAACTACAGGGGTAGGTAGTCTGTGGTCACCCCTGAATTTCTTCTGTTTTACATAATTAGAAGAGTACCTCTTCCTTTTGTCACGCAACAGAGCTTCATTTTCAGACTGAACTCTAAAGAGCAGAATGAAATCTCTGAGTTCTCTCTTGTCTGAAGACAATGCCCTATCAATGCTAGGTTCTCTTTTGTCTTGTATCCAACTTTCTCATCACTATCATATTGTTATAAATATTGAAAGAGAAAAAGAAATACCTACTGTTGCCAGGTAACTGCATCCACTACATTCCCTGCCACCTTCATGAACCTGTGAGATACAGAAAGCAGGTAAGTTTATGGGCATAAGAGAAAGGCATACATGTACACACATGCACATGCGCACACACACACATCCTACATAGGTATATGTCCCTCTGTTTTTGAATAAGGTGGTTTTTGAAGAATGAGGTGGTTCTTCTACCAAATACACCAAATCAATACACTTTTGTGAGAGCCACACTTCAAAGTAAATGAGCTGAATGCAGTATGGTACAAATATTCACACTTACTCCAGTTCTAAATGCACTTTCTTTGGTGAAAGAAGAATCTAATCCAAAAAAATCTAATCTAGGAAACCTGTCTCAATGGGTGCTGTAGTATTTCAAAATTTGAACCTCTTGAAGCAGCTTTCCGAATATACCATCTTCTAGATATTTTGGGATTGCAGCTCCTCAAACTCCCACCAAATATGGTTTAAACAGGCACTGTTTTTAAACAACAGCAAGAGAGACAGAACTCTAGAGATTGGCTGGGAAATGTGTATCAGGTTATGTGGTGGGCAAAAGCAATATGATGTGAAATACTTAACTGTACAGGTGTGTGACACCATGATTATCTAATATAGCACAAAATATGGAATGATCTGATTTCATGACTTGAACTGAAACCGGCCTAGCATTTTCTCTTGCTGATGACAAAACAACCAACAGCTAATTTTGGAAGGGGAAAGATACAATGACAGAAGAAAGGGTTTCCAATTCTTCCCCCAGTGCCGCTGCATTGATTAAACTGGCAGCCCCTCCCAATTGCATTTCATTTAAAAATTGTTGGGAAATTTGCAGAGATTCCAGACAGGGCTTTTATTACACAATCATACCATGTAGTTCATGGAATTTTATGGAAGGATCCAGATGTTGTCTTCTATTTATAATCCACCAGCGTTTTTTCACTATAAAGAATCTCTTAAGAAAGAAAAGATGGAACAATTGCACAATGTGCACTGATGGATAGAATTACAAGTAAGTCTGGAAGCACAGCTAATCATGGGGAATTCTTTCAATTTGTTCGGTCATTTAATATAATCTCAACAACTGTGAGTGTTGAGAGTGGCAATGCAACAAACACACTATAGTGAGTTGCTCTCATACTATGAGCCAGTATGATCCAGTTCCAGTGGTGATTTGAACAAGACTTGCTCACCACACATATATTTATTCATTCTGAGTATGATATAAAATCATTTTGCTGAATCTGCAATAGCATCACATTGATAAATTTATTCAGCACAAAAATGTTAAGGGTATACCAATCCTGCCTTATTTATAGCTTCAGTTTTGCTAATAGATAATTTAGATAGTAGATAATTTACTTTTGTGGGATGCCAGTTATTCAACCTATCACTACTGTTTTAAATTCTATTTCATATTGAAGATACTGCACTGCATGCCATCAAATTACCTCATCCAGCAGTTTCATGTAGATTTGAAACAAGAGTGTGAAGACTGCTGATCCCTGTGGGACCCCGCAAAGTAGGAGGCAAAGATTTAATATCTCCTTCTGCCCCATCAACACCGACTGGAACCACCCCCAACTTGAAGAGATTCAGGCAGAATATTAAGAAAATTCTCATTTTTTTTTCTCATGCAATGTGTCTAGGAGGGGACTTGTGGAAGGTGGACTGAGGAAGTTGTAATGGTTGTGTGGATGTTCGGTGGTTTCAAGTCTTGGGAAACAAAGAGAGGGTTTCCCAATCATCGATAGACCAACAGAGTTTCTTCTGTCTTGTTTTTGAGGTCCCTGAGCAGCAGTCCTGGCAGGACAATGGAGTTTCCCCCAAATATTTTGGTTGAGTGCAATGACTGGAATTGTCTTGGTACTGGTGTTGGACATTGGAGTGGTAGTCAAAGCAATGAAGAGAGGTAACAGCAGCAACAGTGAAGGTGGAGGCAAAGAAGCAGTGGAATTCGAACTGCTACTCAGCTGTTAGCAAATGCCATCACTCGAGAGCTGTTTTGCAGCATGTCCCTCATAATGGAGCTGTCGAAGATCTCTCCCTTGGTGACAATGACAACCAGCTTGCTACAATCTGCTTCTTCAGTGTTTGTGTTGGTTCCTATTAATCGTAGCTTTCTTTTCCAAGCACTTGAGATTTGCTGTTTGACAATAGCTTGTCCAGTAGTCATTAAACCAAGTAATTGGTCTGTAGATGTCTGTGTCCTCTACCTTCCCTTTTTGAATCCCGGGACTATTGTATGTTTGCTCTTTTTAAATATCTAATTAGTTCTCCAGAAGCTTTCACATATTTTCCCATGCTCATTGGATTGTATTATTATCATTGGATCATATTATACATAGCACCCCTCCATCTAGTCTGTGCAAGATATGGGTTGATCACAGAATATTGAGAAGAATTAATAACGAATCAGAACTATGAAAGCCTTGTCTATAATCAGGAAGACCATTCCGTTCTTTTCCTAAGTTTCACTGTCAACGTAACCAGTGTGCATGGAGTTGTAAGCTCTGTGTAGAGACTCTATGTTTGTTTATTTATTTTATTCAGTTTGGATGCTGTCTGAGTCAACCAACTCTGGATGGCTCACAATAAGAAATAGCATCAAAACAACAGAATACCAAAAAAAGAAAAAAAATTAACCAAAGCAGTACAAAAATAGCTGCAAAATAGTCACAAAATGGCAATCCAACAACTAAAGAAACATAAAACATCACAAACAGAGGAGTCCCAACCATGCTACTCCAAGGCCTGGGTAGATATCCAGGTCTTTAAGGTTTTTCCGAATGTCATAAGGATGGGAGCCATACAGATCTCAGAGGAGACTTTATTCCAGAGGGCAGATGCTGTTACAGAGAAGCTTGCAAAGCAGAGGTGTCACATGGACATGCCGAGGCAAACCCATTACTGCTCACACTGCTGCATTCTCGACCAGTTGAAGCTTCCAAGTTGCCTTCAAAGGCAGCCCTGTGTAAAGCAGGTTGCAACAGTCAAGCTGTAAGGTGACATGGGTATGAGTGACTGCCTGGAAGAGTGACTGATCCAGGAAAGGGTGCAACTGGCAACCACCCCCTGGCCACACCTGCCCAAAGCATTCAGTGACTCTTGGGGAGGGGGGCATTGAGCTTCTCTATGGGGAAAGAACACCCAGACCTATCCCTCCCCCAGCTGTGGAACAGATCTCACCCACATAGGTGTAAGGGGCAGCAAAATGCCCCCCTCTCAGCCTAGAGAGGGCATCAGTTTCTCCGCTCTGGAGCCCTGCCAGAGGGGACAGACATCGGCTGCCCACAGCCTCTGAGATGGCAACAGAGGTTGCAGGCAACAGGCAGGCACAACACCCTCCAGCCCACCCCTACCCTCCCTCTAATGTGGCCTCACAGGCCCTTCTCACAAGCCCAGGAAAAAACCCTGCCAGCCTGCCCACCACAGTCCCACATCCAGCA